TTTATTTAGGATTCTACTATGCTTGTGCCTAATCAGATCTCAATCATCTGTAGTTCCTTGCAACTGTTTCCCATGAGATCAGAACGCCAATGAATGGTGTCCTAGGTGAGTTTGTGAGACTGCCCCCTTTATTTGTTCAAGTCGTATCTCTGCATTGCCCAAATATTTAGAAAAAAAAAAGTACAGGCCAAAAAGAAGCTTGTTGAAGCTTGACAATTCTGTTCATTTTTCAGGAATGTTACACATGCTAATGGACACAGACCTGGATGTAACCCAACAAGATTATGTTAAAACTGCCCAGGCCAGCGGAAAAGCACTAGTCGCACTTATAAATGAGGTCTTGGACCAAGCAAAGATTGAATCTGGTAAGCTAGAGCTCGAGGCAGTGCGTTTTGATCTGCGGGCAATTCTGGATGATGTTTTATCACTCTTTTCTGGGAAGTCTCAAGAAAAAGGAGTAGAGGTAAATGATGTTTCCACCATCCTCCCCCACAAGAAGAAAAAAAAATATTCCGCTTTTTTACCTCTGCTTTTCTACTCAAGGTTTTCAATGTCTAATAACTAAATTTCTGGAATTTGCATGATCAAATTTGTGGAGAGCAGTTGGCAGTATACATCTCAGATCAGGTTCCTGAAATGCTTATCGGCGATCCCGGAAGGTTTCGGCAGATTATCACCAACCTCATGGGGAACTCAATCAAAGTAAGTTTCTAGTGGGTTCTCAAGTCTAGTTAAACACAGTGGAAAAAAAAGGAGGACTCCAAAAGATCATCTTCCTTTTGCCTCAAAATATATTTAAATAACGTGCCTTCTGGATGAAATTTTCTTCCCTTAATAAGAGAAAAAGACTGACATGGTGAGAATGAACGTATTCATTGCCCTGGAAATCACCTTGTGATTTTTGTTCAAGTCATACTGTATTTTAGCAGCTAAAAAAACTTAAGGGAAGAAAAAAAACTTAGCTTTGTTGTCCGATTCCTGCATATAAATAGTAGCTGAATTGATTATTTAATTTACAGTTCACAGAGAAAGGACACATCTTTGTGACGGTTCATCTTGTCAACGAGCTGATCGGCTCAATAGATGTTGAGACTGAATCATCATCGAAGAACACTTTGAGTGGTTTCCCTGTTGCAGATAGACGCCGTAGCTGGGGAGGATTTAGGTGTTTCAGTCAAGAGGGATCTGCAAGCCATTTCGCATCGTCCTCTGATCTCATTAATGTTATTGTATCTGTTGAGGACACAGGAGTAGGAATCCCTCTAGAAGCCCAATCTCGCGTTTTCACTCCTTTTATGCAGGTTGGACCATCCATTTCACGTACACATGGAGGAACAGGAATTGGGCTAAGCATAAGCAAGTGTTTGGTTGGCCTCATGAAAGGGGAAATCGGATTTGTGAGCATTCCAAAGATTGGTTCCACATTTACATTTACTGCTGTTTTCACCAAGGCCTTCTGTAATTCAGATGATTTTAAGATCCAGCAAATCAACAGCCAATCAAATGCTCCATCCTCAGAATTTCATGGCATGACAGCATTAGTTGTGGACCAAAGACCTGTTAGGGCCAAGATGTCAAGATATCATATCCAACGGCTTGGAATTCGTGTTGAAGTAGTTTCTGATTTGGATCAGGGTTTATCCAGTTTGTACTGTGCGAATACAACTGTCAATATGGTCCTTGTTGAACAGGAAGTTTGGGATAAAGATTCGGGCACTTCAGCTCTCTTCATCTATAATTTAAAGAAAATTGATTGCCGGGTTCCACCGAAGCTGTTCATTCTTACTAATTCTAGTAGCTCTTGCAGAATAAACTCTGCAACTTCAGTTGTCTCTAGTCCAATTGTCATCATGAAGCCTCTCAGGGCAAGTATGCTTGCTGCCTCACTACAAAGAGCCATGGGAGTTGGCAACAAGGGTAATCCTCGAAATGGGGAGCTCCCAAGTTTGACTCTCCGCAAACTTCTACTTGGGAGAAAAATTCTTATTATAGATGATAATAATGTCAATCTAAGAGTAGCTGCTGGTGCTTTGAAAAAGTATGGGGCTGAAGTGGTCTGTGCAGACAGTGGTAGAAAGGCAATCTCGCTGCTTACACCGCCCCACCATTTTGATGCCTGCTTCATGGATATCCAAATGCCAGAGATGGATGGGTATGTGGTGCTTCTAACTTTAAAAGCTTTTGATGTGAGGAATCATTTTTATGAGATTAAATTTGAAAATCTTGCTGAAATGTCAGAAAACTTCTTTTTCCCCTCATTCCCCATTTTCTTATTAAGATCTGAATACCATTAAATGCATGAGGCTTACTGCTTTGCAAGATCCCTGCTTGTTTACTTCAACAAAAATAGAAAAGAACACTGTTGGGCTGTCCTACAAGTCACTTTATATGTAATGACAGCCGTTTTCATCTAATTAGCTGTCATAGATAATTCATAAATGTGGCATACTAGGCTATTTGTTGGTAATTTTGTTCCAGTTTAGTTATCATGGGTTAATATTTGGTCACTGGTACTACACCTATAACATCAATCTTCCCCCTGCAGGTTTGAAGCTACAAGACGAATACGCAATATGGAACGCAATATCAGCAACAGTATTCAAAATGGCAAAGTTTATGCGGAGGATTATGGAAATATTTTAACATGGCATGTCCCAATTCTGGCCATGACTGCGGATGTAATTCAGGCCACCCATGAAGAATGCACAAAGTGTGGAATGGATGGATATGTTTCCAAACCATTTGAAGCTGAACAGCTCTATCGTGAAGTTTCACGTTTTTTTCCAATCAATTTCAAAGGGGAATTTGTAGAGAGGACTTGAATTGAAGACTTGCAGCTGACATAAGCACAGGCGCTCTTTCTCCGGGACGCTTTAAATGGATTCAGAGTTTTCCCAGTAGTAAGTTCTTTATTGACGAAGATTTAGTTCGTGTTCTATACTTGTTCATTATGAAAAATTAGATGAAAAAACATCTTGTGTGCCATCAAGAACTGACAATACACTGCCCATTGGTTGACCTTTTTCAGGAGAACAATTCTTTTTGTTGCAGAGAGTGTATATAGGAGCCCTGCTTGATTACATGGGATATTCATATTTGAGTGTTAGTTTTTCCTTTTTTCTCCGAGCCAGACATCAAAGCTGGTTCATTCTTCCTTGTAAAGTTGATCCATCTGCAAGCCCTTTTCACTGAAGTTGGTAACCTGGAATGTTAAGTTCCAGCAAGAGCTACTTCAGAGTGAGAGAAATACAATGCCTTCATGGAAGCCCTGGGTTTGCATTGCCATCCCAAATGTACTAATAAAAGTTGCAATCATTGAAGAGATAGGTCAACCATTTCTCAGTATCAGTCAGTGGTAGTATCATAGAGACGGATTTGATTTGGCAGAAAGAAGGAATTCTAACTTACTTGGAAACTGGTGGAGAATGGCCCTTGTATATTACAACAAAGTTAATAAAGATTTGTAGCCAGCCTTTTCTTTTTCATTTTGGTTTGCTCCCTAACAGTTCAAGTTTGATTCAACTTAGGTTTGATGTAAAGTTTGATTCAGTGTAGCAGTGATGTAACTGTACAACAATGTTGATAATTTGAGAAAATCTCATGATTCTTGTCTGGTTTGTACATTTCGAAGAGTCATTATGACTTCTTATATGCAACTTACTAATCACCAAGGTGTTGGGAGTATTTCTTTTGGAAAATAATATGTATCGAGTCAAGTGACTTTATTTTTAAAAAGTGATTCCAGTCCTCCGAGAATCACTCCCAAATAAGCCCCAAGTGATTTGGTGAAGTTCAAGCTGGAAGAATTTTTACTAATCACCAAATGTTACCAAATTGTGTCTAATTTGATGACATTTCTCTTTCTTATATTGGAAAAGGTTTCCCTTCCGATTAATTAAAAAATAAAAACTTCAAAATGTTGAAATAATGACTCTACGTTATCCTAATTCACAAAAAAGTATTTTCCTAATAAACTATAGGAATCTATATTCTTCCTCTTGGGATGTTATGAGTGTCATTGGATATAAATCCAAAAATATGAAATTATAATAAAGTATTTTCTTCATTTGTAAGTATGTAAGTGTCAAAACATAAATATTCTCTTATTAGACTGTGAAGTGATTATTGATGTTATATGAACTTGTATTTTTTTTAAATTATCTTTTTCTCCCTCTTCAATACTTCTTTTTTTAAAATCGCATCAAATGGTGGAATTCATAATTTCAAAAACTACCCCTAATTAACAAGGAGGAATGAAAACTATTTATTAAATTAGCATGGAATAGTAAATTAATATTTTTTCATATAAAAATAAAATGGATCTGAAATTGCACATGAAATATTTTACATACAATTTCTTAATATATATATATATATATATACCAGCTGATGTTAATTCAACGGTTTAAAAAAGTTTCTTAAAAGGAGTGCAAGAGTAAATGAACCGTCGAATTTACATCAAACAGTGAGTAACCACAAATTTCTTGGACCCTTGTAGTCCAAGAGATCAGGACTGATATATATATATAAAGCAAAATGCAGAGAATTGTGAAACATTTAAAATACCAGAAAATGCTCTTGATTAATCCAAACATTAAGAATTAAAATTATTAATTAAACGAGGATAATATGATAAATTCACACTTTTTCATATTAAAAAAAATTAAAATGAAAGAAAAATCAGATAATAAATCCTATTTTTATGGAACACAACTACCCATCATCTTTTTTAATTCTAAAATAAATTTCATTAAAAAAAAAAAAGCATCTTGCAGGCTCGAAAGCGCATACGGAGAGGCTAGTATTTATAAATTTAAATTTAAATTGTTATATAAAAGGCAATTGACATGCTCAAAGGCGTGCTAAGAGGAGAAATTATAAAATACTATGGTAGTTAAAAGAAAAATAAAATTTCATGCGTTCGGGCATGCCAAGTGGCTAGTTAAGAGGAAAATAAAATCTCTTGCATAAGATAAAGAAAACTTGCTTTAAAAGAAAATAATAACCAGCGTCGGACCCACGCAAATAGGAGCGATACGGTGGGCCGATCCGGTAAATCTCATGGCGATATCTTCCTCTAAATATCGGTTAAAACTTGGAAAATTACAATTAAAAAATAAAATAAAATAAAAAAACAGAACATATATAAAAACCTAGTCACTCGGTCGCAGACTCTCAGCTCTCCTCTTCTCTTCGTGCCTACCGTTTCTTCTTTGTTTGCAGTAAGTCCCTTCTCTGTTTCAGAGTCTTTTGAGTCTCTTTCGCGGGGGCAGTGATCAGGTGCGGCGGAGATGGATCCAGATTCGTTGGCGAAAGCATTCGTGGAGCATTACTATACGTTGTTCGACGCGAATCGCGGGGCCTTGGCGAACTTGTACCAGGAAGGTTCGATGTTGACCTTCGAAGGTCAGAAGATCCAAGGGTCACAAAACATCGTGGCCAAGCTCACAAGCCTCCCTTTCCAGCAGTGCCAGCACAGCATCACCACCGTCGATTGCCAGCCCTCTGGCCCTGCCGGCGGCATGCTCGTCTTCGTCAGCGGCAATCTCCAGCTCGCCGGTGAGCAGCATGCTCTCAAGTTCAGCCAGGTATATACTTGATTTTCCGATTTCATGTCTTCTATTTACCTGCGGCGGTTTTAGGGTTTAAGTTGTGGCTGTTTAGCTGATCTGCTGCTAATCTGTTGTGCGATCGTTGGTTCTGCTGGCTAGAATTAGAATTATGAATCTTTTAGGGTAAGATTGGAGGGGTTTTGGTTGAGGTTGGCCTCGATCTATTTAAAACTTTAGTGTGCATATACGATAGTGGAATTGCTATATTCGATTGACTGGTTTTGTTAGATTTATGAGGTATTTTTCTGTATCGGATTTGATTTTTGTCGTGATTGGATCTATTTTTATTATTTCGCGCTTCTGTAAATTTTAGTTTCAGTCCGATTTGGCCGCGTGTGCTTATATGCAGGCTGTACTTGCCGCGATACGGCATTTCTTATGCTGACAACTACCAAAGAAGGATACATGTGTGGATTTGAATATTTCTTACTTTGTTTCTTTTAAATTTTGTTCGATTTCTGCTGCTGACATGTCAATTGTCAATATTATGCTTATTTTCGATACTTCAATAGAAGATTGAATTGCTTTAATAATCCTGTTTGCTATTAAATCAACCAGCGGAACGATGCGGTCCACTTCTCTAGAAAGGAGAAACAAATTGAGGTTTTAGTGGATAATGTATGAATGTCTGCATAAAACTGCTGTTTTCTCTCTGTTGTGAAGGAATCCGCTATTGAAACCGTAGTTTTGACTAAATCATAGTTTCAATTTAATTGGGCCTAAATTATGGCAATTAAGTCCACGAAATCTGGATGTTCTAATTTCACGTTATAGAAACCTTCATTCTTGTTATATAACTTTGTTTCATTGATTGTTAATCATTGGTCGGATCGATTTATGCCTATCCGTTCTCTCTTGCCTTTAATTGCTTTGTAGGTTGTATAACGATCCTGTAGAAGATAACAATTCAAAACTGATTGATTTGCTATTCGTTTCAACAGTGTTTGTTGTAAATCAGCTCAAAACTTGGGATGGTTTTACTTTACCCAAGGATGCTACTCAGCTGGATTCCTTTTGTTTTCTGCTTCGGTCGTGATGTGTGATTAACTAGCTGTTCATGATTGTGTTGGTATATATGGTTGTTTAAAGTTGATTTGGCATGTTAATTTGGCTACTTTTACTTCCACTCATATCAGGACTGACACGCTGCAAGAGAATTCTAGCATTAAGCATCTCTCTCCGGAAAATTTCATTATTGTAAAAAAGAAAATAGCCTTCTTGCCCTGCGCTATTGGGGAAAAACCTTATTGCTGACCCGAAGTGAAGTGATGAGATTCTTCATCTTCTCTCTCTCTCTTTGCCTCTCTCCCTCCCTCCTCCTTTGGCAAATGTAGTGTGTGTGTGCTTGTGCCCCAAAAGGACAAGAGCTCCATTCTTATTCTTCTTCTTGGCTTGCATGCCAATTATAGCCATGGAGTTTCTATGAGTTCCATATTTTACTAATTTAAGCTATCTGTCTCTTGAATTAATAATATAAGCTGTGCCGAGCGCATATCATTAGTCGTTGCCTCATCAGGAGCTCAACAGTTTTTCACTTTTAGAAATCAGTACACGTGTACTGGTGCATTTTTTCAAAATTTTAGTAGGCTGTATATATCCCAGATAACTAATTAAACATCCAATTTCTCAAAATTGTTTTCAAATTTTTTTTATGTTTAGGTGTATATAATCAACTCCATCAACTCCTTCGTTAACTCATTCTAGATTCTGAGTGTTGACCGTCTTCCTTTGTTGAATCGAATTTATTCATGATTTACCAATTATGTAGGCATTTGAGCATCATGATCTTTATTATTGTAATTTTTTGTTTTGTTATGCAGTTGCTTTTACCTAATCATAGTTCTTTTTATGGTTTTCGTTTTCAGATGTTCCATTTGATGCCTACTCCACAGGGAAGCTTCTATGTGTTCAATGACATTTTCCGGTTGAACTATGCATGAAGACAAGATCATCACTCACATTCAACAATGGGTGGGAATATGTGTGCTCTCTTCCCTGCCTATTACTGTTTAGTTGTAGGGATCTCAAATGGAAAGTATGAACTTTCTTTTGGTTGGATGTTTAGTGTTCGTTGTGTTTTTTTGTGTCGCCAGAATTTAGAGATTCTTATGATTGTTATTGGTTGAATTGGAAATTTACATTGCTCTGGGTAATTATCTAAAATGAATACGGTATTGGAGGTTTGAAGATTGAAGAATGTTTCCTTGATCCAATTACTCTTTTGCCCCTTATGTTCTGTGTGTGACGTGGCATTTAAACTAATCAGATGATTTGTCTTGTGATCGGGCTGGTAATTACATCTGATGGAGATTTGGGATCATAAATACCTTCATAATGGATGAATCGATATGAATCGAATCGATTGGTCAGTGAGTGATGGTGAAGCTGTGGATGGAGTAAAACAATCTTTTGTGTTCGTTTCCATAACTTTCAATCTTGCATTGAATCAAAAATCACAAGCACGGTTCAAAGACAATATTCATCAGAAGAGGCTTGGGCAAATACGGCCACTCCTATTCTGCTTATTGACTATTTGCTGAATAAACTTTTCACAGCTCTCCTCTCCAGAATCCCATGATTAAATCCAAGGGTTTCAAAAATGTCAACCCATAAAATCGAAAGTCTCTTCTTTACTCTTTAATATTGAATCTTTGAGCCAGGGCAGATGAAAAGCAAGCAATTTGCTCAATGCTGTTCACCAGTTAGGCTCATATCTGGCAACTCCACGTGAGGGAGATCAGGAATTTGGAGACGAGGGAGAGGAGGAACCTCTTTTTTGTGTTCTTCTGAGTCCTTGCCTGTCCCTTTCCCTGTGAACATGTCTCCAATGTATTTAAACGGGTGGCTCAACCCATCTTTAAATTTCCAGAGAAGGGTCACCTCAGAGGCTTGCCAAGCAACAGTGAGCACAATCATGACGGAAAGAAGCCAGTGGGTGATCGTGTTCTGTCTCTTCACCTTGTTAAGTTCTTCGATTATCTCTTCTCTATCAATTTCATCGGAGCCACCGTCGTCTCCGTCTGCTTTGTCACCACCACTCTCGCTTTTCGGCTTCGATTGATCCCCATCTGCAGAGGAAGTTAACTCTCCCGGTTTCGTTAAAGCTTCGGGTTTCTGAAGCCGCTCGTTGCCTTTTAATGACTCTACCTGTCAATAATAGTATCCAACCAGTGGGCAAAAATATTAACAGGATTCATGAATTTTATTGCCAACCCTGCAGTATATATATACTGCACAAGAAATGAAGAAATATATCGAAACAAGGCAAATAGAGTAGGTCAGAGCCGATTGTAAAAGGTCCGTGTTTGAATCCCTCCTGCCTCTCTCGTTCATAAAAAGGAAAAAGAAATCGGAAGTATGGTTCTTTTGTTTACATACATGCATAGCTTAATTAGAGAGAGAGAGAGAGAGAGAGAGTTGAGATGGGTGATTAACTAACCTGAGAGAGCAATCGGGAGAGGAGGAGGCGGTCGTCATCATCATCAACTGAGGCATCTCTGTTTTTCCTCTCCTCTAAGAGCCTCTTGATGGCCTCCTTAATCAGCTCCACGTTTTCATCTTTCGAATCCATCGCTGAGTTGTTGTTGTTGGGTCACTCTGAGATCTCATACAACACAGAGAGAAGTTCAACTCAAAACAAAACAAAGCCCCTCTTTCATTCCAGATTCTACTAACAAGCAAGCAAACACCGAGTGCCAAGCTTGTCATGTCATCTTGGCATGACACGTAGCACTTGCGCCTGACGTGGCGTAAAAGTATTGGCCTTTTGGCTATATGAATGGCTAATAGTTAGTGATACGATCAGCTCTCTTTATTTTTTTATTTTATTTATCTACGATCAGAATCCGATCGGTCGACTGTCTGATAAGAATCGGGTCGGTCTACTGACTGACTGATCAGAATCTGCATGCTAAACGAGGCCAATTATAATTAAATATCAACGATTACGACAAAAAGATTATTGTCGTGAGTTCATGGGTCGGCACTCGGGATGAGCCACCGCCGTCTACAATAATATCAGTGATATCCATGTGACCAATGGGCGATTGTAGTAGAACAAACGAAAAACGACATTGACAACAACAATAACAGGAAGCAATAACAGCAACGATATAATATATATGAAAACTCATAAATCAACATCTCTTTACATCATTAACCAAGATCATTATGTACAAACCGAACCCATACTAACAACATACATCTACTATGTGATCAGTGAAATTTAGGTAAACCAATGAGCAACATAAGTTAGAAAAATTAGATGTTTGCTTCTAGGGAAACTGATACATATCAATGTCTTCTACATTGAATGTATCATCAAGGGAATTCGGTACATCTGCTTCACCACTAGTGCCACCTAGTTCAGCCTGCAAGATTAAATTGAATAGATGTTTTACATGAGTTAAATCTAAGTCCATGGAATGTTGTTTCATCAAAATCTGTGACTTGCTTGCTTACCTTAGCTTGATGGTACCTCTCCAGCATGCGATGATACTGCTGGCGTGCCTCTGGAGACTCAACCATGGACAGTACCCGCGAGACAGCCTCTTCAATGGCTCCATCCACTTTCTGTTTGCGGAACACCTTGAGAATATCTTCATCTTCACTTTCTTCACTGGACTGTGTTTCATGCCGAAAACCACGCAAACCAACTCCTTTCCTTCGCCATCTTAGTACAACTTTGTCCAGGATTCCAACAGCCCAGCAAATTACCTTGTAGTGCTTCCTGACCTGATACCCTCTCACATGCGCCTGTCAAGAAAGAAAAGTATATAATCCAATTTAGTATATAGTATTTTACTAAGTAGAATAATCTCAACATCCTGAATTTATATCCACGTGGTGCATTTGATTTAAAAAGAAAAAAAAGATGAGGGTTCCTTTTGACTCTCAATCAATCCATTATGCAACTTGATTCAACAATCGAGTAAGCTCTGCATATGGTAAATGCTAAAGCACACAGCAAATCCTAACTTCAAAATATGTGGTGCAGGATGAATTAATGGTAAATCGATTCTGCAAAAAAACTGAGGTACCTGTATCTTTACAACTTTCTGGCGCAAAGCCAGGAAATCCTTGCGACCTTTCCAGCCTCGATATTTCTTCTGAATAGATATTGCAGCTGAATTATAATCACGTGGGTTACGAAAGGCTAGCTTTGACATCGCTGAAAGCCCTTGAATGTCATCTGAACTGATACCATAATCATCTATACTAACACCAGCTTCTTTCTGTCTTCGTTTTCTGAAAGAATGTGCTCGGAAAGCAGATTGTATGCGTGCCGCAGCCTGAGCTGAATTCCGGACAGCGGCCAAGGTGTTTTTAAGTGAGGCCTGATCCTCATTGCCGTGAAGGCTTCTGTTTGAGATGCTGTTTACAGTTATTTCTGCTTCAACCTCAGCAGAGCCTTTAGAAAGCTCACTTTCTTCCAGTGTAAGGGATGACAGATGGCTAGTTAATGAGACCTCTGAAAGATAGCCTGCAAGTCCCTTATGCCCACTGATGGCTGCAATAGATGCCGGAGTTTTGCCAATTGGATCTTGGGAATTGGGATCCGTCACTGCTCCAGCTGATGCACCGGAAGCTATAAGTACAGCAACCATCTTTTCCCTGTTAAAATAAGAAAATTTGAACGATGCACCACAAGAGCTATAGCCTATATGAGATTTTTTTGTCTTCGCTATTTCCTTGCCTAATTTTGGATTGATGAAACAAGTATTTGAAATACGTAAGTGTAACCCTTTGTCCTAGTTTTGTTGAAATATTAACGTGTTATGCAAGTGAAATGAAACACATTCACTAAATATCCCAACAACCCATGTGTATCACTCCTTTGCTCTTTTGGACAAGGAATAACCCCAAAGAAAAAAAGGAAAGCTTTGTTACCTTCCAAAACGAGCGGCCCAATGCAGAGCAGTCCATCCATTTATGTCACGGAAATTAATATTGACTCCAAAACTTAGTATTGAGTTTAAGGCCCACTCAAAGCCCAAACCAGCAACCATGTGTATTATCCCTTGCTCTTTCTTGGACAAGGAACAACCTGTCTGGTCAAGTCCATGGGATCTGGAAGAAAGCCATTGCTGCAACTTGTCTTTCAAAAGCTCTTCCAAAAGCCAATATATGTTACTAGATGCACTTCCATTGCCGAGTAATAAAGCCTCAATGATACTATCCCACGTATCATCGTCAGCTTTCAATCTCCTCAGGGTCTCAGGTTCAACACTATCTCTGTTCCGCATTGATGAATCAGACATGAGCATTTGAACAAACCTGACAAGTAATAACAGCTCTTCAGCACTCTTGGTAGTTTCTGTTGGAGGCGAGTTATTAGTACCACTACTGCTCTTAACTCGATACTCAAACTCTCTGACTTCACTGCAGGACACCCGGTTGCCTGAAGTAATGCAGATAGTCACCTTCCCAAAAAGGTGAGGAGGAGCTTCACAATGGAGTACACCGTCCTGAATGATCTGAGCAGGGACTTCAATGTCACCAAACATACAACTCCATGCAGATTCTGATGGATCACACAGAAAAGATCCAACAATTATGACCTGCATCAAGCAACGTGGGCTTTAAGTTTAATCTTAAACTACAAAAAACAAAAGCTCTACAAAGGAACCTTTTTTTTTTTTTTTTTTTATAGGGAAAAACAAATCCAAGGGAGAATCTATCGAATTAGGACTTTGTTATAAGGTGGATACTCAACAGTTCTCTGCATTGTCACTTGGCCAATTTTTTAAATTAAAAAAAAGAAGTAAATATCACATTAAAAAAGAAAAAGGCTGCTTGGCCTAAAATGCACACAAGACAGTACCCATGAACATGACTGGTTTTAATTATAGTTTTTTATACTGATCAGATCATACGTTGATTGCAGCTTAAATCAAAATTACAGTATTAACTCATTATTTTCTTACAGACAATGTAAGATCAACATTCCAAGTTGATTTTTGTAGAGTTCATTTTGGTCCGAGGGACCAATAAAAAGTCAAGCATAGACAGGCTACCCTTACAAGACCAGGGTATTTGGTTTCTGAAACAGTTTAGATTAGACAGATTGTTGTACTGGATTATTGGTAATTCTGATATCCGGTCATCAAGATCTGGACTAATAACTCAAACTTTTAGTAGCATAAAAAGCACCTGGTGGAAAATATTCGCTAGGATCTGATAGTGACAGGCTTTATTCAGTGATTTAGTTCAGGTTAACATATCCAACTTTTCCTTACTGATTTGTAGTATAATGATCATATGAAAAAAGGTGAAGCAGAGAATGAACTGTTTAGATAAGGACTCCATTAAGGACCAGAGACATGAAGATTGATTCAGAAATGCTCCAGAAAATTATAAAACAAGCAAGGGGAACATTATGGGAGTACTACTTCCATTTTAGCCAAATGATTATTCTAAGGAGCATTACCAGACATAGTATGACGCGAAACATACCTTTGTAGCCTCAGTGGCATAACCCCATTCTGGAGATATTTCCCGAATTGTAAACTTTTGCTTTTGTGCAACAGTCAAACTGATATCTGAATCAAGAGTTCCAGTCTGGCCTTGCTCAAACAACGATGTATAATAGTCTGAATGTGTTCCCATCGCAGAAGAACATGGAGAAAGCTTGAAACTGTCAACTTCTTCAGGCAGTGACAAAGAAACTGATAACACATGAAACTTGTCAGAGTCTGAAAAATATTTAGTAGGTGCTAAAAGACGTGTTAAACCAATTTTCCTAATGAGAAAAGGAAATCATACAGTTTTTAACATTAGTTCCGTCTGAATTTAACCACTGACAATGCTCCTGACCTTCAGTTGGTCCACTCCTGAAAGAAGATGGCAACTTTTCCTGTTGCAATTAACATAAAGAGGTTAATGCCATCTCAGACACATGGGACCAAGCCATTCATAAAAGACATACAAAATTTAAGCAGCCAAAATCCATTAACAATCTCTAGAAATATATCTGAGTAAAAGTGTAATAAATGGGGACAAAAACAAAGAACGGTATGTAATACTTGGTAATACTCACATTTGTGTCCAATTCGTATAAGCATTTCTCCTTGGGCTCTACAACTGATGAAGGCTTACATGAATCCAGAACCTCTTTCCAAGGTGCAGATTCTTTGTTTCTATCTGCAAATTCCTGACCAATGAATTGACTATGTTCACCACTATTGGTTGCATTACCTTGCATCTGAGCACGTCCACCATAGAACTGATCATGTACAACATATTCTGGTCCATGGAAGGCAGTAAACTGATCCTGATTGGTCATATCACTATGGTCTTCCAGGATATCCGAACCATTTGTATCATCCAAAAATTCATTGAACCTGTCCATGATATCTGAATTTGGATTATCATCGACAAATTCATTGAAGCTGTCCTCATTCAAACTTAACTGCTCCTCGAGCCGTCGCAAAGCTTGACTAACATCAAACTTAGCTGAACTATCTGACTCCCCAGTTCCATATAACTTATCTGGGTTCTCCCTTCCATTTTTCTTGATGGCTACATCTGAATTAACTTCTACAGAACCTGGGCTTGATAAATTCTGATAAGGTTCATGTAAATCACTAATCATGGAGATAGAGCCCCTATTTTGAGTAGTCTTATCACTCGGACTATTGCTGAAGGAAGAAGAGGATACTGGTGATTGTGCAAAAGTTCCAGTACTGGACTTTCCCTGAAATGCAGCATTGCAAGCAGGGATGTCAATTCAAAACTAAAGCGACAGACCAAAGACTGCTTGTGCATCTTTGCTTTAAAAAAATTCTACACACGGTCTGAAGTAGTGAGATATGCTTGTTTATAATCAGGTCCTAAAGACTCACCTCGCTAATTTCTCTATAATGCACAAGAACAATGTGCTCATATGCCCTGCCAAAAGGATGATAATAAATTGTCAAAAATCTTTTCCATATATGTTATTCCTAACATATGCTAAAGCCTAACCGATACGAATATAAATGGATGGAAACAGCATCGAGCCTGCGACATGTTATGACAAAACCATATTCCTACTTTTATCTCAATGGAAGTTAGATGTAAATTAAATACATGTGCATAATAATTATGTCAAAAGCAGACATTTTACAAAAAACTTAATTATATAAGGAAATCGATGATAATTATAAAGGTACTCACGGATCTAGCATCCAGTAGCTACGTCTCTGAAAATTTGGGTTGTCCTCTCCATGTGCGTAATAACAATTTAAAGTTTCAGCATTTCCGACCTAATCATGCATAAGAAATGTCATTACTCAAACTGATATATGGGAATAAATTGACCTCAGTACTAACCCCATTAGCTTAGTGCAAAAACATAAACAGAGCAAAATAAAGTAGGAACTTTTTCAGAATAGAAAAAAACTTCATCGAGCCACTGAACCATTCTAACAAATACCTTACTCATTTCATAACTACCCACACCAAAAAAAAAATACTGTTCAGTGCAATAAGGAAGGACCTTTTTCACAAAAGAAAGCATTTAGGATAACAGAATAGACTGCTTCAACAAACCTTAAGTCGTTCATGTGCTTCACCAACGGTTCTTCCATCCTTCTTTTTACGCCAGTGGTGCCCGTCTCTACGGAAGAACCGAAGGACCCTCTTGTTAAATAGAAACAAAGATCCACCTGTTACAAAACCACAAAAAGGTAGGGCATATGAATTTATACGCAGTGGATGTAACAACAAGGATAGGGATACCAATATGCCACCCTAATACAATACCAAAAGGAGACTTACTACTAGGCTGTTGAGGGGGCTCTGGGGCGAGCTTGAACTTTTCATGGTTCTGTAATATGTAGAGCACTTCCGCAGGCTTCAGCCAACGGGTTTGAGCTTCTTGAAACAAATCATTAATATTATACCCTGAGAACATACGCATAATAGTACACATGTCAAACAGTTTCCAATTGACAACTTATAATGGCCGTTAACCATAGTTTACAAAGACTGTGATTGCAACGTAGCACAGGCTTTATATAAGATCATAGAATCCCAGGAAAACAGAGCTATCAGACATTAAGACACAATTTAAAACAAAAATGAAATTATTTGCAGCAGGATAGACTTAAAACTGATGTTCCAAATTAGATTAACTACAAGATAAACCAAACACAGCCGAATCACATTTGAACCGTTACTTCATTTCATTCAGAAAGAAATGAACCAAGACAAAGTGCAAATTCTAATGGTTGTAAACAATCTTTAAATAAAAAAACCAGTCAACAGGCCCAAATGCCCTGATTATAAACATGAAAGGGGTCAGAAAATTTCCAAATCTATCTATATAAACAGTGCATTTTCAGACTCAAATTCAACCAAAAAACTAGTAATTTTGTAATTTTCTTTTCTTTCTGACTGTAAGTGAACAAGCTCGCGATCCTACGTACCTGATTGCATCATATTCAGTGATTGTCGAAAAATCAAAACTTGACCACGAACTGCAGAAAAAGCGTTTGACTTGTGCTCATTTGCGTCGACAAGGACGACACTTCACTCAAATCTACAAGAAGCAAATTAAAGAGTTGAGCTTCGGAAAGGGACGAAATCCGGGTCGGGCTGACGGTTAAATATACCTGAACCGGATCACAGGTGAGCCCGTTGTTCGCCGAGTGCAGTGCTGGAGCTTGGAGCTTCGGCTTCAAAAGCAAAATAATCGACAGAGACAGCGCGACCAAGACCAAGTGTATTGTAAACGAAACGACCACCAGGAAGTCGAGGACGAAGGAGGGGTAAGCAAAGAAGGAGCGAATTACTATCCTGTGCTACCTGCCTCTACGAAGCTTCGTGCTCCGATGACGTGGCAAAAACTAATTGGCCAGCTGAAAATCTTGCCATTGCTTCAAAGTTGGAAACTTCACGGTACGGGTCGTGAGTCGTGAGTGCCTATGTCTAGACCGCTGATGGTGTAATTACCTAGTATGATGGACAGATCAGAACAGCCGCGGCATATACCACGAAGCAGAGGAATAGATGGGTAGGTGGGGACAACGTTCCTTCCAACTGCGGAAGGGAGGGTTGTTTTCGTCATTTAACATAGTAGTACTAAGATAGGTGACAGCAATTTCAGCTGCGTTATTAATTTTTTATTTTTTTGGTCACGAGATATTTTTAATTGATAAAATAGAAAACGTGGAAAAGGTGCCGTGCTCGCATATTCCTCTCCTGACTCCTGAGTTCCGTTCGTTGAGTGAGTGCATAAAATATCACCCACATTTTTCATTTGTTTTGTGTGTGCGGCGGCACATATTTTGACTGAGAATGAAAGAGCCTAGGGAAGCAAGCAAGCAGCAGGTACATCCAAGAGACGGAGAAAGAGGTTATGGATATAAAGGAGCGGGGTTGTAACTTGTATGTGTGGTTGGGATTAAATTGTGAGGCGGCTGCTTTGGATGGTTTTGGATATTGGTTGAGATAGGAAAAGAGGATTGGGCCCTTGGCATACTTGCATTTCATTCCATTTGTTTTGTATCGATGGAGACTTGTTTTAGTGGTAGAGTATTTACTTGACGTATTCGTCTTATTTATTGATGTACAAAATATTAGCCATGTAGGTTAGAGCTAGGGCTGGGCTCGCTTTGAGTTGGTTTGGTTTTGGGCTCAACCTGACACCGAACTATAGGTTTCGGTTTGGCTATTTTGAAAACCGAAACCAAACCATAATTGATAAAAACCGACCACTTCGGTTAACCGGACTTGGTGGTTTGGTTTGGTTCGATTTCGGTTTTTTGGCTCTGTGAGAGAGAGAGAGAGAGAGAGAGAGAGAGAGAAGAAGAAGAAGAAGAAGAAATAAAAGCGATAGAGAGGAGAAGAAGAAAAAAAAAAGAGGGAGCGACGGAGAAGAAGAAGAAGAAGAAGAGGAGAAAAAGAAAAGAGAGAGGAGAATAAGAAGAATGAAAAAAGAAGAGGGAGACGGGGAGAGAGAGTCAAGACAAATATAAGAAGAATGAGAAGAAAAAAAATAGAGAGAGATGAAGACAAGATAAATGGAGAGATTGAGAGAGAAGAAAAAGAAAAGATTGAAACTATGTATTATATATCTATATATACATATATTTTTTATAATAATATTATATATAATATTTTTTAATATCTTTGGTTTGGTTTGGTTAAACTGTGGTTTTGAATATTGCAAACCGTACATCGAACCATATATTTCGGTTTGGTTTAGGTTCAAACCGATGACCCAAAAAAAATTAAAAAAAAATCGACCCAATCCAACCCATCGGTTTGGTTTGGGCGATTTGGCCAAGTTTCGAGTCCAAATGTCCAGCCCTAGTTAGAGCTCTTTCTAATGGGAGGAAAAGGAAAATACTTCCCTCCTTATCATGTAAGTAAAAGGTCCCACATTTATGCTAACAGCGGTGAGATATGTTTGCAGAAGTTTTTCTTTTTGTGTTTTTGAAAAATTATTTTTGTATATATGTCAAATTGTAATTCACAGTAAAAATGAATATCTCCTTACAGGTAAAAAGACAAGTAATATCAAGAAGAAAACAGGGGTTAGTTTGCTGGGATTTTGACATTTGTAAAATGACGGACCAACAACCCAGGTGGTGGTCCAATTGAATCATGCTACAACACTTTTACCCAAAAGAAGAAAAAGAAAAGACATGATAACAAAATATTATTATAAGGTAGCATTATTTCGACCCAAAAAAAAAAAAAAGAAGGTAGCATTATCATGGAGAGTTGAGAATCAGAAGAGGACAATTTGTTGCCGGTCACAAATTGACTTTCTGTGGTCGGGGCTATCCTGTGGAAATGAAAACCGTTGGCTTTGGTACTAGGTAGCATTTCCATGGTGACAATTGGTCAAATACAAGTGGTACTTATTAAAAGGAAGAAGAAAAAAAAAAAAATCCCATAATTATGACCAGAAGCTGGTGTCCACTCCGTACAGAAACTATTGGGACACCATAGTCTATAATGTATTAGTTGGTGTTCAAAGTGGCTAGCTGCTAGCTCTAGGGTAGTTTCCATTATCAAATAATAAGCTCCTTTTTATTTATTTATCGCTTTTTGGTTAAGATAGAGTTAAGAGGGTTGTGTTGGCATGATTTGTGGACAATTGACTTTCTTTTTTTACACACCAAGGATTCTCATTATAATTGTATTTGATTTACTTTAATTCTTGATTTTCTACTGTAAATAGAAATATGAATTTATTATTTACTTGGCTACTAAGACTTTGTTATAGTATAAATATGACCTCGTACAAGGAGGGGAATATACATAAAATTTCCAAACCACATTCAACACACACACTCCCTTATTACAGGAGCTCCCAATCCCCTATCAAAAGGCTAAACCAACAAAGGAAAAAAAGGGAAACCAAGCCCAATTAACCCATGATGAATATTATTGGACTGACATCTTCATTTCCTCAGTGTGAGCCCAACCCAATGGAAAAAGATAATAATAAACAAAAAATGGAAAGAAAAAAAACTGGAGGAGGAGGAGCTCTTGTATAATTGTATTAGTGATGGCCCAGCAGCATTAAATGGGAAAGAAGCCTAACAAGCAAGCAATACTTGACTCAGTGGCTCTTATTCCTTGTCACATGGCGAAAACAGAGAGACTAGAAAGAAACACACAAACACAAATGGGACGGCGGAGAGTGAATCCAAGTGACTTGTTTTCCCAAGCCTCCGCCCCACACACTCTCTTCTCTCTTTATCTCATTTCCAATTCACTTCCAGTCAGCCAGTCAGTGTTTGTTTTCTTCCAATCAAAGTCTTCTTCTCTTCTGCATATATAAACTTACAACCCCCAAATCCAAACCTACCATTTCTCATTGCAGCAGTTTTGGTACCAACCTAACTTCCTCTGTTCCAGCAGAACATAGACTGAGAGAGAGAGAGAGAGAGAGAGAGAGAGAGAGTTTTAGGGATGTCTGATTGGGGCCCGGTGTTTGTGGCAGTGGTTCTGTTTGTGCTGTTGTCTCCAGGTCTGCTTTTCCAGTTGCCTGGGCGCCATGGCTGCGTGGAGTTTGGGAGCTTTCAAACTAGTGGTGCAGCCATCATGGTTCACTCCCTCCTCTACTTTGCTCTCATTTGCGTCTTCTTGTTGGCCATCAAGGTCCATTTTTACCTTGGTTAACTCTTTACCAGCTCCTCTGTTTTTGTGGTGAAAATGGGACACCAAGGAAACAAGAAGAAAATGTGGCCAACTTTGTTTTGAACAGAACAGAGTCCGAGGAATAATTATTCTGTTTGGCTTCCATTGTAACTTGTTAATTACAGTTAATGTTGTGTTTGTGAACTAAAGATTGTTTAGTACTAATATCTAAGTGAGGCTTTGGTCAATTGAAAAATTTGTGTTCTTTGTGCCATGTTTTCACTGGCTTGTGGTTACTGCTTAAGAGCTATAGACTTCTTGATCACCAAGTTATGTTCTTGCTGAATGAAATTATATTTACTGGTTTTAGGTTGTGAAATTAAACTAGTGGTAACGTCTTGGATGATTGTAGTTTGGATTTTGGATCACTGGATATGCTTATTTCATTGCTGATTGGCTTAGCTCACTCATGGATAAAGCGCAGCCTCCAATGAGAGTGGAGGTGGTCCATGTATTATTGTAAACCTTAAGATTTCAACAACAACAACAACAAAACATATATATATATATATATATATATAAGGGATCTCTCAAATAAGATTATTTGAGAGATATCTTTGTAGGACCTACTCTGGATTGTATTTCACTAATCCAAACTGTCTATTTTGTAGATATTCATTTAAAGATCATCTCTATAAAAAATCACATAAATCTGATATCATTTGACCACTCAATTAAATTATTGAAATTTTAGTACTTTGTTGAAGCACCGTATTCATTGATATATATATATATATATATATGGAGCTTCCATTGAGGGATCCCTTAAATAAGCTTATTTGAGGGACACCCTTTGTAGGCCCCACTCCGGATTGTATTTCACTAATTCAAACGGTCTATTTTATAGATACTCATTCAAAGATCATCTCTACAAAAAATCACTTGAATCCGATATCATTTGACCATTAAATTGAGTTATTGAAATTTTAGTACTTTCTTGAAGCACCGTGTTCATTGATTTTGTAAGACACAATTGGATGTCGAAATGGTTTCCGATTTGTCTAATTTTTTGTAAGGATGATCTATGAATGAAGACCTAAAAAATAGATGGTTTGGATCATTCAGAAAAAAATTGTAGGGTACCCTAAAGGGCGTCCCTCAAATAAAATTATTTGAGGGATACCTTAATAGAAGGGGACTGCATATATATATACTGGAATTCACTAGGGGCATTTTTCAAACCAAATGACATTACATTCCATTCATAATAACCGAAAGGGGTGACAAATACAGTCTTATATCTATCTGACTCATCTATTTGGATTTGCCAAAAACCACCTTCATATCAAATTTGGAATAAACAACTGCTTTTTCTAATCTATTAATCAGGTCTCTCTTATTAGGTATGAGATACCTAATCCATTCTAAGACCGAATTAAGTGGCTTGTAATTGATAACTAATCTTGGGACTCCTCTTTCTAACTCAGCGTTTTTCTGGACATAGAAAGCAGGACATGACCAAGAGGATTTACTTTTGCGAATTATTTTCTTCTGAAGTAACTCATTAATTTTTTTTTTTTACAAAACTCCATTATTTCTCCACTCATCTGGATTGGCCTGGCTTTAGTAGGAATGTTTTCCTCACTAAAGGTTTTGATATAGGGAAGACAAACAACATGTTGTTTTCTATACAAAAAAGCATTAGGCAGGTCGGAGCAAATCTCATTTTTCAACTTATTTTCAAACTGCTGAATTTTGCAACTGTAAAGATTTATCACTAAGCTGTTGTTCAACTCTTTTGAATTTAATTTCTCAACTGGTTATTTTTTCTAATAATCTGTACTGATTTGGACACTGACTGCTTTTGCAAAGCTTTCAGGTTATGCAACTCTGGTTTAGACAGAAACTCAAATTTAACCTTTTCGCCTAAATACGTAGAAATGACACCATCATAGTCTACGTGGAAGGGATACAATAAGGCAATAAAAGGTAACCCTAGAATGACTTCGTCAGTGATATTCTTGACCAAGACAAATGAAGTTTTAAAGCAAATTTTATTTTGGCATACATGTGTTTTTGGTAACTCAAAATTTAACTGGAGTGATTTTCCTGAAGCAGTGCTTAAGGATTCTCTAGACTTCTGGTAAAACTTAGTAGGGATTAGACCTTCCTGAATACAGTTAAGATCAGCTCCTGAGTCAAATAAGGCAACTGTGTTGATCTCAAAATTTTGGACAAATATTGTCACTTTCGAATACCATTTTCTAAAATTGACTTGTTTGATCAAATTCACAACTTGTTGACTACCAGAAGGTTCGTCATCAGAATTGTGAGGACTTTCTGACTGGCTTTTGGACTCAGAAGACTCTTTTTCCATAAGACGGACTAAATCTTGCTTGATTGCATAATTTTCATTTTGTAATTTATGACTTATCTGTTTTAATTCAACTATTTCTTTTTTAACCATTTTTACTTCTAATTGTAGATCTTGTAACGTAATTTCTTTCTTTTTAGCAAATTTTTCTAAAGTGGTATTTAAACTAATCGGCTGAGGAACAGACTGACTTGGGCTTTCTTGGCTAATGACATTTCTTAACTTCTTTAAACACTCAGATTTCAATTCAGGATTCTCAACTTTGCTTATTAAATATATTAATAATTCTTCTTGTTCTTCTTGTTTAGTAAGAACATAAATGGATTTTAATATATTACAACATTTATCTTTACAACCAATTTGGATATTAGGTGAGCTGGACTGTGAGCTGGACTGTGAATATGAAGACTGGTCAGATTCAGACTCAGAGCTGGCCACTATGGTTTTATCATTGCTTGTTTCAGAGTCTCGCAACTCTAAAACCTTTATCAACTTTTCTTTTTCTTCATCTGTAATTTTCAACTGTTTAATAGTATCCTTTACTTTGCATTCAGAGGCATAATGACCAAACTTTTGACATTTAAAACATTTGACTTTGGTTTTATCATTATTTCTCTTGGAATGATTATTCTTTTGACTTATTAGGGCTTTCGACCAATTTTTCTTGGGGGAAAATTTCTTTTTTTTATAGAACTCATGATTATCATCATTATGTCGGGAGAATTGTTTTCTACGTGAATAATGACGATGTTTTCGAATGTGACTGAGATAACTAGGCTTATTTTTCCTGGAAGGAGGGATGCTGGCAAGACCATACTGTTCACAGAAATTTCCTAATTCATATTTAGCTGATTTCCTGTCGGACTGTATTTGTCTACCAATTTTAAAATCAATACATATTCTCATACCAACTTGGTTGATTGTACTTATGATATTTCCATATGTTAAGTTATCCCAATCTATATGGCCTTGTTCATTACTCAGGGTCGTGCGTATTTTGTGGGCAAACAAATTTGGAAGACCATTAACAAACTTTTCTTTCTAGAAAGGTTTATTACTTTCATCCCTAAGCATGACTCTAGAGATGAAGACATCTTTGTACCATCTGAAATCAAACAACTTAGGAAATTTAAGATTACTAAGCTGGTCATGGAACCTGGCAGTAGTATTACTAGGGGTTCCAATGAAATGCTCAATTATTGTGTAAAACAAAGTGTTGACTCCGTCTTCTATACCTTGACCTATTAGTTCGTTAAATATAGGGAGACCATCTTCATTAAGTTTTACAGCATGAATAATCAGATTCTTGGACTCAGGGGTTAAGTGCTTATCCCACAAATACTTGAGAGTACCAATAAACCCAGTAACTAACAGGGGTACAATATCAGATTGTCTGAAATTATGATGGGTGATGTAACTGTTGGCAACCATGGACATATGTTGTAACTTATTAAAGATTTCTTACTCAGACAGACCATCAATATTTCATTCGTACAATTTATCAGAAGAAACTGAAAACTGGGTTTGGAAGTTTCTTTCTTCAAACTGGATATCTGGAGGAGTTGGTCTAGGGTACCAATTTTTGGTTAAGCTAGTGGGGCTTATGTGTCTATCTAATCTTTTGATTTTGGGTTCAACTTGGACTTCCAGGTTTTTGAAAGCATTTTCTATTTTTAAAATATTACTAGTTTCGGATTCTGTTGTCTCAGGTTCAGACTCAAAGGGGTTCGTCGTTGCAAAAGAATCTAGTGTTTTAAGACCAGATTTTTCAGCTTCACTTGAGGTCAACTGTTCTAACATTTCTTCAATTTTCTTTATTGTAGGTTTAATCTTAAGTGTGGGGCTTGACTTAAGATCCTGGAACTGAGCTATTGGTTTTTCAATTTTTGGTTTAAACTTAGTTTCTGGGGGACTTATCTTGTCAATCTTAGTTTCAATTGCATCCAGTTGTTTCCCTATGACAATTAGACTCTGATTGGTATAATTATTTTGCTCAATTAGTCTTCTACTAGTATCATTGCTTTCAAAGGCTTTAAAGGGGCTAACAGGAATATGTGTATTCTTATGATTGATGACTATGGTGTCAACTGGGGGATGACTAGCTTCAACTTCTGTTTTGTCTACCATTTTTCACTTTTCTTTAGTTAGAGTTTTTAACTCATTAGACATGTAGCGGCTTTCAATAAAATCAAGATATAAAATTTCGACTTTGGCTGACTGCATATAATCTTTCCATTCATTAAAGATTTTTTGACGGATTTCACTATTAGGGTAAGCTTGGTGATAACTATTTCTCCTATGCTGATTTTCTGGGGTCTTGAGATGATGATTTAAGCGTTTCCAATTAATCTCAAATTTTTTATTAAGGGTTCTAAGTTGATTATCAACTGCTGCAAAATTTTCAACTAGGAAGTCAGATTGTGTAGGTGACTCAGGTGAATCGGACTTGTCATCTTGGATTGGTACCTTGCCATAACAAGGTTGGTTTACTTGAGAGGATTTTCTCAGGGACTCAAGTTTGAAATCAATCATGGCATTTTCTAACTCTAGGTCTCGTTCTAGAGTGGAGGACGAGGCTGCAAAAGAGCGCCTAGCAGGAGCATACCTTTGAGATTGACCAGGGGTCGGCAACTGTTGTAACTGGACATTAGACTTCTTCAAGGGCTGATTTTCAAATCTAATTTTTACTATACAATCTAGATACTGTTGGATATAATCTAAATTATTTAGACTACGCTGTATTGGAACTGGTTGGCTCTCGGTGACTAGGGTCCAATCTTTTGGAAGGGCAACTTCTGACCACTTAATGATCTAAGGAACTTGGATATGGGCATCTGCCGTATGACTTTGGATTAAAATAGTTTGGTCTTTTGG